AAATTGACCAGCCTTACAAAAAGTAAAAGGGTGTGGCTAACTCTGAGGAGATTTTCATAATACTCACTGAAAATAAAATCTGCACAACAGGCAGCTGAAACCCTACAGTCGCGACCCTCGTTGACCCCAAGCCTCAGTGATTTAGAAAGGATCAGTAGTGACGGGTAAGAGTGGTTGGGGTTTTGTTGCAAAGGTGAATGGACATTGAAAACAGAGAGCCTCGCGTATAACGTTTGTGAGAATGGAGGTGGAGACAGTAAGGGCAGCTTTCCGATAGTTTCAGAGCAGCACACACAGCCTACATGTTGTAATCGTAACGGACTCACAGAGCATGTCTCAGAAAATTGAAAGTGGCGACCTTTGCATAGACTAGCTTGCATCATTTGACACGACTAAGACCACGAGCAGATTTTTTCATGTCCAGGACATTCAGGTGTGTGGGATAATAGGCAGATGTTGGATTGGCTGCTGTCGCTCCTCTGTTGGTTGCTACTTTATGATAAAGTGAACGTGGTAAAGGCTGACTGGGATCGAAAAGACATTGTTAAAATAAATAAATAAAAATACAGAGAATCCACACATTGCAATTCTAAATTCTTCTTCTTCTACGCGTTCACTGGCTGTAAACTCCGGAGAAAAGTTGTGGTTTTTCAACCACCTCTGGACGTTTAGTCTTATTCCAGAACCTGATTGTTGCATGAACATCCCTTTTATAGATTTGACCGATTTATATGCAGAATGTTGGTTCCTCGCCTCTGAGGCAGATGTACTACGACTTCGATGGAAGCTCCGAGTTAGTCGACTCTTACGACATTCTTGTGAGGAGGCAGTTGGTCTATTCTTCTCTTCCACCGGGGAAAAAAAAAAGGGGGGGGGGGGAGGGACTTTTAATCAGGTGGCAACTGGTAGTATGAGCTTGTAGATTCTTAGTTGGCTCATGAGGAAGGGAACTGAGAACGTTCAGGAATGTCCGGAGTGCAGTGATGTCACGTTTTGATTCATTCAGGGCATGAAACATTCGAGAACTTCCTCTGGCGATTGGAAAACTCTTGTTATACTCGCTCCTTTGTGGAATTTCTATAACGTGGAGATCTTCAAAAGCGTCAGACATTATTAGACATATTCTTATGTACATACCCGCTAATGATTCTAGAGGCGCATAGAGGCTAAAATGGCGACGAAGCTTAGTTATTTAACAGTTATATAACATGTTATTATATGTATTAATACATTGCAACACATTGGCCGTGTTTATTTATTTAAGAACATCTGTATTTAGGAGTGTGAAATACAATCCAGTGTTGCTATGCCTGCATTCTTTTATGTGCTTTGTGATCGTTTTTTTTTTAAATACAAAGACTCAAATATATTTGTTCCTTTTTTTTATCCAGTTGTTTTATTGGTATAAAAGGTTTAGAGAACTAGGCGTCAAGTGACCGGTAATTGTATTTGATCTTATCCCATATGGCTCTGAATGTATTCGCACAGCAGCAAGGTGATAGGGTTACACAGTCTTTATCTACAGAGGCAACCCCTAGCAATCTACAAATAACCTAACTCGTAAACAGAACGAGACTGCTAGGAAACGATCTCACGACACTAAGGACATGAAGCAAACCGTTTGATTACTTTACTACGAAGGCAACCTTCTACACTATGTAAAAAAAAAAAAAAAAAGTAGGGTTGCAACAGTTCTTTCAGAAAGAGACTGTCTCGAACCATTCTGACACTAAAAAGGCGGTCTTGCATTCCACCATCCATGAAATTAAAGTAGACAGAACAGTGAAGAAAGCAACGATCTTATATTTTATAAGTAAAGTAAAGATCCCTTTACACGCCCTTATGCGCATCGGGCATATGGGAAGAGCACCCATATTTTTACAGACCAATCGGCACTCTTATATTTTATAATTTTTCTAATACACGGGATGTACGAGGTTACGTGTGATTTTCGTTAAAACAAAATAATCATGTGGATCATTTGAAAATTTTATTGTTGTGAATAAAAAAAAATATATCAGATGATACAATTGGTCGCTATAAGTTATGTCGCGAAAACGATATATATGAACATATACCTTCTGCACACTTAAAAAAAAAATAAAGTTGCTAGCGAAGGCAATAAAGTTTTCACAAAGGATTCTAACGTAAGGATTCAAAGTATTTCCTTTTATCTGTCGAAAGTATTTACTTGTTTGTTTGATGTCTATTTATATTGAATTAAACACACATGTTGGGGCACATACAGTCGCGTCAACTTAAGTCGAACTCGGAAAAGTCGATAAGTCGGTTAGGTCGACATGACCATCTTAGTGGCGGCAATTTTCTCTATTGTGTGTGCTGTCTGGATAAGTAGAAGTCCTGATAAGTGGAAGCATTTTCTTCGATCTCTGCGACTTCTACTTATCCAGACTCGACTGTATTGTGATAAAGTGCCTGGTGAGTTTATAGTTTATGGTGACAGATCAATGATGGTAACGATGGGAAACGAGAGAAATGTGCTGACGCAGTTGGACACAAGCAGCAGACATTCTAGCAGGAAATAATCAACAGAAGAAAACGATGTGCTTTATTAATATCCTACCTTAAATAAGGGGAAATCCACAGGTCATTGCTCAGTCTAATATTTCAGGGGTGGTAGATAGGCTGCATGCAGTCGTGGGACCTAGGTTGCATGCCGTCGTGAGACCTAAGCTGCACACTTTCGTGGGACACAGGTTGTTTAACGTTAGGGCCAGTTCACTACTCGGTGCGGCTGACCAAGGCGGGAACAGACTGACACACATATGAAGCCTGCACTATAGGTTCAGTGAGCCTAAAAGTGTGAACCTTGAATTTCGAGTACAGCTTTTATTAAACTCATAACCTTTTTAAACCTTTTTCTGCCTGTCATCGCCTAACGGGACATAGGCTGTCGAAAGCCTCATACTAAGCCCTATGTCAAAATATAAATACACGGATAGCCTGAGAACAATGACCTAATCCATTTTCTGGTGATCGTAAAACATAACAGTTTAAACTTATCCACACGGCCCTAGATGATGATAATAAATTCTTTGGGAGCATTTGAATTTTTAAATTTTGCAGCTGGTATTTTCTTTACAGATTGGAATACGAATATTCCTACATGTTTTCATTGCATGATTTCTGTATATATCCCTAGTAACACATGGGAGATAATCGGACAATATATATAAAAGTGAGTTTATGGTAAGTTTATGACGACCAGCGTGCTAGAGATAATAACTGACCAAACCAGATGTATATATCAGTAAACATCCTATAGAAGTGTGTTTATTATATTTAATAAATCAATACAAATGATTATATTAGAATACGTAACAATTTCCCTTATCATGGACATGTAATAACAAATGTTGAAGCGGTGAAATTGGAATAGACTAAAATAGTTTTAACTAGAACGAATACATTACAATATTACCAACACTTTAAATTAAAATTGTGAAATATTGTGTATAAAATGTTATGTACACTAAAACCTTCTAGATGGAGCGGAAACGTGGATACTCGACAACCAGTTGTTTGTTTATTTGTTTGTTTTAGTATCCAGAAGCCATGAGTTTTTAACCCTTAGGCTCGGTATTATAGCTATCGCAACCTTTCGGCCTTGATTCCATTTTAAATACTGTAAATCTGGGAGAAATGGGGCTTTTCTGACCGCCCCCGGGAGTGAACCCTGACCACAAGGAGTTTGTCACTCGCTCACCGCGCAATCCGGTTTAGCCAATTATGCTAGAGAGACGGGCAGACAAACAGTTAAAAATTGGAATTGAATCCCTGCCAAACTGCTAATTACTGCATTTGTTTACTATTTTTTGTATTGTAGACAGGGGGAATCTTGAGCCTGAGGGTTTAGCGTAACACGGATAGTGCTGTCGTCACGGACTGTGCAGGGAAGGATTTTTTAAAACTTTGCCACTGACAGCGAAAAAAAAAAAAAAAACCTACGAAGAATCAAACTTGGATATCCAGTATAAAAGTCTAGCGTTCTTAACCGTTCGGCCACTGTCCTAAAATAAAGATAGAAATTTACAGTAGAGTATACGTGTTCTATGTTTTTTATAGAAACGAACAAAGAGACAGTTATAAAACATGTTATTATATGTATTAATACAGTGCAACGCATTGGCCGTGTATATTTATTTAAGAACACCTGTATTTAGGTGTTTAAAATACAATCGAATCCACTGTTGTTATGACTGCATGCTTTTATGTCCTTTGTGATCAAATGTTTTTTTTTTTCAAAATGCTAAGACTCAAATATATTTGTTCTTTTTTAAAAATCCATTTGTGTTATTAATATAAAAGGTCACAGAGGTTATGTAAAGAATGGAAATGAAATGTGGGGGAGGGAGGGGGGGGGGGCCGCAAAAAAGGAGGGTGGGGGGGGGGGGGGACAAAACAAGTGAAATAATGTAGTAATAATGAAATACGCAATACCTTTGTAAAACATAACACTGGACGTAAAAGCCGAAGGCATGCGAGCAAGTGGTAGACGACAATACAAATGACACTATTAAGAGATGGGCATACTGTAGTCAGAGAATAAAAGGAGAGACAAATAATCTTGTGAGTCTTCAAAATGGAGACTCTAATTGCGACACTTGATAGACATAACTTTTATTTATTGTTTTTAAATATTTAAAAAATATGATTTTGAGTGTGTGTTAAATTCTGTATTTTTTAAAGCTAGAGAAAAAACATGCAATTCTTTTGTACAAGACAGTATATTCATTGCATACAAAAATAAAATAAAATGTAGAACATAATAACATAACATGTTATGTGGTATATATGTATAATGCATAGCTAATTCGAGTTGTCTAAACTGGTGGAAGTGTTAAGACTTCATTCTTCTTCCAAGACCTGTACAGGAAAAAAGACGCCACCTGACTTCGTTCAGAAACAGTGCTTCTTGCATGTCTCTAAACTTATTTATGTCGATTATCTTATATAATTAATGTGATACAAATATTTTCCTAAAATAATAAAAACGCTAGCAGGGCAGCAGCCGTCAAGCCACCCAACACTATTGTATAGATGACCAAGAGGCACGTGTGAAGGTTCCAGCTGGAGGTACTCTCTTCTGAAACTGCTTGCACTTCCGCAGAGCTCCGTGACCTGCCTGTGGAGGAAACGACAACTGTTAATACACCACAATGTATTATTTAAAGCTTCTGAGTTGGGTGCATGGCGTGACACCGTTTGCTGCGGATTTCATTTGGAATGCTTGTCTACTGTTACAACGTGCTGGTGTGAATTGTAGATTCAGAAAATGGCGCGATGCCTGTTGTCGCAATATCGGTGGTGCCATTATGTGATTGAAATTCATCGCGTGTGCAACTGCTGATTTGTTGGTGACTTCTGCTGCCATCCATAAAGAACTGCATTTCTAATGTCGGACTGTTTGTGTTAGCACTTCAGATGGCTACCGCATGCTTTTAATGCGTGTGTATGCTAGTGCATATGCTGAGACAGCAGTCTGTCAATCTTTCCACAAGGGACTGTGATAAACATTCTGTGTGTTTTCAGTTGGCACAAGAGCTGAGCAACTATGGGGTGACCCGTTTTCTATGAAGGGTATAGACAGGGTAAACCCCCAAACTGAATTTGATTAAATGTGCTGGAAACAATGCTTTCCATAGGTACATACTCGATAAAGATTAAAGAGAAATTAATTTTAGTGGCAAAATCAACATATTTTCACAGATATTGATTGAAAATGTCATATTTTATGCGGAAAATAGCCAAATTTATTCTCAATATCTACACAAATATTTCAAAAACTAATCAAGATGGCTAAATGAAAATTTTCACATAAATTTAACATGGTAAGATTTTAAGTCTAGAGAGAGGAAACAGACAATTGTTAAACAGTTACATGAAGGTAGTATTTCGGTACAGGGTAGGGAAAAAAAGGAGAGGGGGAGGATGTCTACACTATAGTAAAGTAAGCAAAGTTCTCTTCTCCTCGCCTTCAGGCGTATTGAACTTATGGGACTAGACCGATATTGTATAGACCCATTAGCACACTGTGGATGATATGGTCAACATCATGCCGGCTGCCTTTACTTCCAATAACTTTACCTAGTACCCATTCAAGGCTAGGTCAACCTGGGAGCCAATGCAATTTTGAGAAAAAAGTCCGGCTCCGCCTGAACTTAAACCAACGACCTTCGGATTTGCGGGTGAGCATCTAGCCGCTAACCAATCTCTATACAAACCTGGTCTCGGTGGATGCAAGCGAATAGCAATGGCTCAGTCACAATAGCCGCTCGATCTCTACACAAACCTGGTCCCGGCGGATGCAAGCTTATAGCAATGGCTCAGACACAATAGCGGCTAGATCTCTACACAAACCTGGTCTCGGTGGATGCAAGCTTATAGCAATGGCTGAGACACAATAGCGGCTCGATCTCTACACAAACCTGGTTTCGGTGGATGCAAGCTTATAGCAATGGCTCAGACACAATAGCCGCTAGATCTCTACACAAACCTGGTTTCGGTGGATGCAAGCGTATAGCAATGGCTCAGACACAATAGCGGCTCGATCTCTACACAAACCTGGTCTCGGCGGATTCAAGCTTATAGCAATGGCTCAGACACAATAGCGGCTAGATCTCTACACAAACTTGGTCTCGGTGGATGCAAGCTTATAGCAATGGCTCAGACACAATAGCGGCTAGATCTCTACACAAACCTGGTTTCGGTGGATGCAAGCTTATAGCAATGGCTCAGACACAATAGCCGCTAGATCTCTACACAAACCTGGTTTCGGTGGATGCAAGCGTATAGCAATGGCTCAGTCATAATAGCCGCTCGATCTCTACACAAACCTGGTCTCGCGGGATGCAAGCTTATAGCAATGGCTCAGACACAATAGCGGCTAGATCTCTACACAAACCTGGTCTCGGCGGATGCAAGCGTATAGCAATGGCTCAGACGACATTATTTTAAAGTTGAAATGTAAACAAAATAACTGCTGACACGCAGACAGGTAGACAAACCTTTCCAAGCCAGAAGTTCAAAGACAACATGCCACAATAGCTGAACTACAACCCATACTGTCAGAACAGTGATGCCAAAGTTTCTCATCTCCTTTATTATGTAGTCAATGTCGTAAGCTAAGAACATCGTAGTTGCTGGAAGAGAAAAAAAAAACATAGAAAAAATAATACTTATTTAATCAAATGTTTGCATGCATAAAATGTCTACTTCTTTCTCTTCTTTTCATTCTCCAAACCAGTGGTGTGTTTTTTCTTTCTTTTAATTTCCCGCTTCCCTACCAGATGCGAAGGCCACAATTCGTTTTGCTGGAAAAACATCACGTTCAAGCTGTATCCCTGAAGGGTGAGCTTTAGGTTATAATTGTGACTAGGTTATGTGTGCCATATAAAAAAGCTTAGCATTGCACGCCATCAAGAGCCCTGAAAAGGACTCCTGCAGTGTTGATGCCAAAGGAGACAGACCCGATTACTGTCCCGACCGGCGACGAAGTCGTCTTCCTGCGAGCCAGCGGTGACCTCGCCGATGCAAAGACCCCAATACTCTATGAAGGCTTTGTTGTAACGCAGTCATCCTCTGGTCTATACAGCTTGGCTTCCACCATAATGATAACCGGTAAGACCCCAGGCCTTTCTTGGGCATGCAGAGAGCAGGTCTGTTGCACATGTTCAGAATTCTGTAGTGCATGTCTATGTGGGTAAAGTTCTGCTTCTTCTTCTTCCCGTTCACTGGTTGTAACCTACAGCGGAAAGTTCTAGTTGTTTGTCCACCTCTGGACTTTAGTCTTGTCCCAGATCCTAAGTGTTGCGTGCACATCCGTTTAACAGATCTGACCTAATTGTATGCAAATTGTTGGCTCCTTACCTCTCAGGCAGATAAGCCACATTTCTCCTAGCTTTACGGTATTTAAAATGGAATCAAGGCCGAAGGGTTGCGATATCCATAATACCGAGCCTAAGGATTAACTACTCATGGCTTCTGGATACTAAAACAAAGCAACAAACCTATTTTGATATATCAGCATACATATAGGCAGATCCATCCATCCATCTACCATTGCATCTATCTACGAACGTAACCATCGTCCCGCCCATTCATCTACCCACACCATTTATCTCACCATCCACTCAATGCTATATTTCACCGCTTCCTTCCATTCTGGCTGTTACCAGCCTTACACTTGGGCTCTACCAATACTTTGTATAAAAATCACCCTTACTGTCTCTATTTGATAGCGGACAGCAAGAGAGAAGCAATGTGTTACTAGACTCATGTTTTTACCTCATCTCATATTTGATCAATCAATCCATCCATCTACGATACCATTCATCCACTAATACAGTCATCCATTATTCCATCCATTCATCTACCCACCCATCCATTCATCTACCATTCCATTCATCCACTAATACAGTCATCCACCATTCCATCCATTCATCTACCCACCCATCTATCCAGGACACACTCGCCTATCCACACCACCATCCACACATGCTGTTTTCCCATCTATCCCTTCATCGCTCCCTTACACTCTGGTTGTTACCAGTCTTACTCTCGGGCTCGACTGATTACTTTTGTATAACAAGCATCCTTACTATCTCTATTTGATAGCTGACAGTAAGAGAGAAGCATTTATCTATCTATCTATCTATCTATCTATCTGTCTATCTATCTATCTATCTATCTATCTATCTATCTATCTATCTATCTATCTATCTATCTATCTATCTTATCTATCTATCTATCTATCTATCTATCTATCTATCTATCTATCTATCTATCTATCTATCTATCTATCTATCTATCTATCTATCTATCTATCTATCTATCTATCTATCTATCTATCTATCTATCTATCTATCTATCTATCTATCTATCTATCTATCTATCTATCTATCTATCTATCTATCTATCTATCTATCTATCTATCTATCTATCTATCTATCTATCTATCTATCTATCTATCTATCTATCTATCTATCTATCTATCTATCTATCTATCTATCTATCTATCTATCTATCTATCTATCTATTCTATCTATCTATCTATCTATCTATCTATCTATCTATCTATCTATCTATCTATCTATCTATCTATCTATCTATCTATCTATCTATCTATCTAGCTGTCTGTCTGTCGATATTTGTTTGCAAGCACAGGCACCACTTTTATTCCACGCGGATGGACTAAGGTCATCCCCACAACCCAACCCCGGTTACGCCCTATAGGCCAACCCCTCCCTCCCTCCCTCCTTAGACACTTAGTGTACGCTGTTGGCGTCCAGCCGTCCCTTTCTTTGCCCCTACCTGCGCGTTGGAGGTATATAGGCTGACCGTCGTTTCATTTGAACGAAGATTTTTCGCCAGGGACACTAGATGAGTATCGTTAATTTTATACATTAGAGTCCTATGTAGTCACTTCATAGTTAGAGCTTATTTGTGTATGTGTACTGTGTTGTCCTTTATGTGCTGATGAAGGCTAATCGCCGCAACGTCCTTTGTTTGTTTATTGTTATCGATTTTGTAAAGCTAACATAAACTAATTGTTGTTTCTTACCAACTTTTTCTCTTCCCTATAATTTTCTACTCCTTATAAAAACTCTCAGGCAGATGCACTGCGACTTCGAACAAAGACCCCAGTTAGTGGACTCTTGCGACATATGTGTTGGTAAGCCAGTGGGTCTATTGTTTTTTTTTTTTCCATAATGGGGATCCGTAACCCACAAGGGAAAATACAGATTTGAATCCCCAATCTTGAATGTCTTTTACATATGGCTGCTGTCTGTTGTGTTCGGTTTGTATTCTTAAATCAATGGTCTGTTGCTTTTTTTGTAATTCCATTTGCACCAGGATTGTATTCTGCATGGGAATTTGTATTTAGTTAAATTTTTACATTCAGGCGCTTTCTCGCGGCGCGGGCGCACACATACACACAAACACTAACGATGGTGGGCGTGGTGTCTGAGCCTGCTACAAAAGACAAACACACCTTCTTCACACTGTTTTACCATTTTCTTCCTCATTATTGTCGCCTATCTATTTCATCATCATATTCTCTA